TCGATTATTTACCAACGAGTTGTGGTTTGAGTTGGGGGCAATGTGACTAAAACAGTAATTGAAATTCAGCACACTATTTTTTTTAAACGTGTTGCTTGAATAAAACTGACCAGACACATTCAATTTACCAGACTATTGAACAACTAGGAAAAGTGAAAAAAATACTTCTTATCGCCAGCATAAATGCGTAAATATTTTTTTTACAGAAAAAGTAATTTTTCACCTTTGATTGAGTAACGCGCCGTAGAATGCAGATACGGGCATGCAAAATACACTTGTGAAAAGCTTGAAGTCTGGCGATTCTAAAAATATATACTTTCCCGGGTCTATTTGTAGTCATTTAATCACAATTAGAAGATGAAAACAAGTATGCAAATAATAGTCCCGCTACCTTAATTGAGGTTTTGTCTGTTATTTTTGTTATAATTTGAATTTTGAATTCAAATTATGAATCAATTCAATTTATGTTCATGAATGTCAGCATATTGTCACCGCAGTCAATGTTTCTAGGAACATTCCGTTGTTGTGAAGACGATTGATAGAGCTACAACACTGTTTTATTTTCAGTTTCTTTTGTTGTTCTCATTGAAAACATCAATATTGTTTATTTTTCGCGGATTTTATATAAAGTACCTGAAACATTTGGAAGATATAGCTTTTAAAATTGTTTATTTACTTAAATACTCTACAGTACCATAGTTTAAAAGGTGATGGTAGTCTCGCTGCGTCTTATTCGATATGGGAATAGCGACGCACACAACGTGTGTAAAATACATTGTTTGTTTACCTGAAATTCGAAAACACGCTGCATGATGATCACTACCTTTTAAGTTGTCCCATGATGTAACATGTTATATAACTTTCACTGTAATAAAAATACCATTTAACTTTCATTTCAGAGTTTAAACTATGACCTTTGTCACAACGATGTCTATGCTCAGATGATTGAGACAAGAAATAAAAAAACTGCCAAAACTTTAGATTTTATGAAGTGGATTACGACCTTTCTGATTGGTGTATTTACTGGCATGGTGAGAAATTCTTTATTATTATATATCTATACTGATTTGCAATCGCACATTGCACTGACCACTGACCCCTGACCC